ATCCTTAAAGCAGAGTTCCACTCACGCTGTCAAAAAATAAAAGTCAGCAGCTACAAAAACTGTAGCTGCTGACTTTTAAAAAACAGCCACTTACCTGTCCCTCGGTCCCGTGGTGTGTCCCCCGCAGTGTGTTTCACTGGCCGTCCTGTATTCCAGGAGGCCGGCATCTTCAGTGTGGGCACCTGGCTGTGCAGCTTGCGGCTTCACAGCCGAGTACCCACTGTGCATGCGCGAGTAGCACTGCACTTCGTGTAGTCTTCTGGGACCTGTCACATGTCCCAAAGGACTACAGGGAAGGAGGACACCTTCAGCTTCTGATCGCCTAGGCGATTGGACCAGAAGTGGGAGCGGGTACCTGTCAATTTTGAGTACCTGCTCCCCCCCTGCCCCCCAAAGGTGCCAATCCTTAATGGGGAGCGGGGGTGCAGTCCTTAAAGCGGAACTTCCCCTTTTGGGTGGAGCTCCGCTTTAATGAATGTAGGCAGGAGCCTACATGGGGTTCAGGGGCGGACTGACCATTTGAGCACTCGGGCACTGCCCGAGGGCCCGGGGTCAGTAGGGGGTGTCACTATTGCGGCGTCAGACCCCAGACCTTCTCACCAAACTCGTGACCGAGGGACTGGCCAATCTAAACCCGCGATGTGACCTGCGTAGCAATGCCACACCCAGCTGCACCCTGCACAACGATATTCCACCTAATGGATACCGCTCGATGTGCCAGCAGCCTGAATCGATTGTTACTGGGTTAGGTTAATTACGTCATTAACCCCTTCACACTGCCACCACCTCCTTTTTGATCAGAGAAAGAGGAAACTCGGCGCTCAGCTATAACACTATAATGGTTGATATAATCGACTGCATAACCTGGTCATAATACAGGCCTGTTATACAGAGGGTTTAAACAAACAGTAGCGTCTCTTTAAAGGCAGGGATTTGTAAATTGCAGTTAAGAGCTATAGAAACAGTTCAACACTTTCAGAAAGAGAGATTTATTACTAAAAGGGTGAAACAGGTGCAATAAAATACTTACAGAGAAGATGTAACTAAGATAGATATACATAGAAAACAGCACAGCACAGCAAAGAGATAACAGGGAGAAGTTAAAGGGTTAAGTTACTTGCCATTAAGCCTTGGAAGGAAGCAGATCACGTTTCAGAGCGAAAAGCACAGGTCTCCCCAGGTGGTATATTGATGTTAAAAATGGGGCATGTCTTCAAAACTCTTAGGCTTGACAGCCTGCTTTAAAGTTTCCCAGCAGGGGGTGGTTCTGAAGTAAAAGACCAATCCCCTGTTTAGGGAGGGATCATCGGGCGGAACCCTAAACTGGAGCCCACATCTTTTCATAATTCATATTCTGGTTCATAACTTTCCATCTTCACAAGCGAAAGTTCACCCCGCGGCTATATTATTATGCAGACAAGTCTGGGGATTATTTATGTATGAATTATGAAATTATATATTGCACGGTTCACGAGTTCCATGTTTCGGCTTCCCTGATGGTCCGAGATAAGCGAGTGACCCATCAAACTGTTCGCCTGCTCATTGGCCATCTGACAAGGTGTCCGGTTTTTATGGAAGTCTCTCATATTCCAAGATATGAGACATAGGGGAAAAATTTATTTCAGAAGTGTTCATCTAATTCTGTCACCTACGCTGAGCTAGGTTATTAGCTGAGAGTCCCTTTCAACTCCTGGGAAGGTACCGCTATCCCTTCACGAGGCGTGAAATTACACAGGTACTTTGCCCATTGAGACTCCAGCTCTCTTGGGAAAGCTGGTCCTATCTCTTCCTAGGTGAGAAAGGATAAAGCTTTCACAGACAGCTCCGCACCTAGCTAGAAATGCCTTGGCAGGCCAGTGACCTATAAACAGTACACACACATCTGTCACTGTGCCTCTCAGGAAGGGAGGGGAAGGAGAATGAGGGAATAACATGCTACTCTTAACAAAATGGCAGACTGCGTCAGTCCCTGGTGCACACGTTTGCGACAGGGAGCCCCTTGAGATGCCCCTGGTACCTTTTTATAGGCTTTTTTGGGTGTAGGCAAGGACACAGGGGCCCCATGATCCCCTATTGCCTGGGGGCCCCATGAGTAGTCAGTCCGCCCCGATGGGGTTCATGCATTTCTGCTATGCTGGTCAATCTTGTCAAGCTGTGCTGTTTCTCCTGTCTGCAAGTTTACTGAGCCAGCCAGGTGCAAATTGTTATAATGTAGATGTGTAGTGGATCGGAGATATTGATTCACCAGATTTTCCCCACCAATATTCTCTTTATAGGTAGATTGAATTTTTAACAAGTTATGTAATTAATGATGTCATTTTTTTTAAGACTGCAGTAAGGCTAGTTCACACTAGGAATCGCATACAAATGCATTGCATGTTCTTATGTGATTCACATGCGGTTCAGTGTGGTGCGATTTGAGCTCATTCATTTTGAACGGGTTGAAATCGCACTGCACCAAAAGTAGGGCATGCACTACCTTTGGAAATGTGCAACAACCAGATCACTTGGTACTACTGTAATATGCGATCTGGTGCAGGCAAATGCACTGCGTTTGGGGTTTTTGGGGTGTCGTTACCTTGACACTCACTGCAAATCACGAGGGCGGTGTGTTTGTGAGAGAAGGAACAGGGGTTTTTCCCACACCTTGTTCTGGTGTGAACGAGGACTCATAGAAGATGAAAAAAAACAGGATGTCAGAAGTGGGATTTGAACCCACGCCTCCATTCGGAGACCAGAACACCCAACTGGGAAAGACATCAATCTTGAGTCTGGCGCCTTAGACCACTCGGCCATCCTGACATTTCCGTGGGGTGTTTGTGGTCCTTCTTTTTTTATAACACATATTTGATATCCTTCATAAAACAGGACAAATTCAGATTTGTGAGTTGTTAATATCTCTAGAGATTATGGCTGAGTTTGGATAGAATGTTGCATCGCAAAAATAGAGGGGTCACCCTGTCCCCCAATTATCAGCCCAAAATCCCGTCGTCCTCTGCCTCAATACAAGAACCCGCAGACTACAATACAAGCCGCGAACCGGGTGTGGAGGAGGCATACAGCCGCTAGGTGGCAGATGATGACGTAAGGCCGCTAGGTGGCGGATAATAGCACACACAGCCGCTAGGTGGCAGATGGTGACTTAAGGCCGCTAGGCACCGGATAATAGCACACACAGCCGCTAGGTGGCGGATGATGACGTAAGGCCCCTAGGCGGTGGATAATAGCACACACAGCCGCTAGGTGGCAGATGGTGGCTTAAGGCCGCTAGGCGGCGGATAATAGCACACACAGCCGCTAGGTGGCAGATGGAGACGTAAGACCGCTAGGCGAAGGATAATAGCACACACAGCCACTAGGTGGCAGATGGAGACGTAAGACCGCTAGGCGAAGGATAATAGCACACACAGCCGCTAGGTGGCGGATGATGACGTGAAGCCCCTAGGTGGTGGATAATAGCACACACAGCCGCTAGGTGGAAGACCAGTCTACGTACGTAGTGATGACGTATGTAGTTACACGGCGGTTGCGTTAGTTGCTGTTACTAAGTGCAGAATTTACGACGTCCTACGCATTGATCCATTGTCGTCCGCTAAGAAATATGTTTCTGCAATCATATATGGCCCTGTCTGTCCAATCCTGACATTTGACACAACTACAATCTGCCCAATCTAAGATATTTAGACGTTAATTGCAGCGTTCTTACATAATACCTATTAGAACGCCCAATTGTAGCCTTAATAGAAAAAGATCTGCAGGAAAAAGGGAGATAACATCGTATACAGTCAATGTGGCTGTGCCAGCCATGTACTCAGCACATTGTGTACCTGTATGCCGTACAAAGGGAGATCTGAGCGCGGGATCTAATCTAAGTCAGAAATAGCGACTGTTACAATGTTGCCACCTACAAAACCCGTCAGTCAGGCAAGAACGCGGTATATTAGTATTAATAGATGTGAACGTGAGCTGTTTTATAGCGGCTGGTAGTCGTGGCCGAGTGGTTAAGGCGATGGACTTGAAATCCATTGGGGTTTCCCCGCGCAGGTTCGAATCCTGCCGACTACGTGAGAATCTTTTTGCACCCTTGACCTAAGCAGATAATTTTGAAGAGGAAGTTTCCTCATAGAAGCTCATAATTATACCTTGCACTTGGATCAAGACTAAGTTTACAACTGCACCGCAATACAATACACATCCACTAGTTTGGCAGCAACGAGGGGTGGTGAAGTGTTCTGCTATAATGCATTGCATTGTGTTCTTTATTTCAAGTTTCACAAATTTTTTTCTGAAGCAAAATCTATCTGCACATCCCTAAAGAAAAACGTGCAAAATGGAATGCGTGCACATAGGAGGGTGTACCTGTGGGGTACCATGAATCCCTCTCAAAAGGGGTACAGATTTCTACACCAAGACACAAGGTAACTATCAGAAGAAGTGTAATTGTCGATGAAACTTCAGTGTATTCTCTTCTTTCTCCTCCCTTACAGTCGTCTAGTTCTTTGGTTTCCCCTTCTCTCCTGACGTGGTTGTCGGTGGCTCTAACAAGTCATGAGATGCTGACCATGTAAGTTCAAAAACTCCAGGAGGTGACCAGAAACTGCAGACACGGTACAGGGGATGACCAGAGACTGCGGACACAGTACAGGGGATGACCAGAGACTGCGGACACTGTACAGGGGATGACCAGAGACTGCGGACACAGTACAGGGGATGACCAGAGACTGCGGACACGGTACAGGGGATGACCAGAGACTGCGGACACTGTACAGGGGATGACCAGAGACTGCGGACACGGTACAGGGGATGACCAGAGACTGCGCACACAGTACAGGGATGACCAGAGACTGCGGACACGGTACAGGGGATGACCAGAGACTGCGGACACAGTACAGGGGATGACCAGAGACTGCGGACACGGTACAGGGGATGACCAGAGACTGCGGACACTGTACAGGGGATGACCAGAGACTGCGGACACGGTACAGGGGATGACCAGAGACTGCGGGACACTGTACAGGGGATGACCAGAGACTGCGGACACTGTACAGGGGATGACCAGAGACTGCGGACACGGTACAGGGGATGACCAGAGACTGCGGACACTGTACAGGGGATGACCAGAGACTGCGGACACGGTACAGGGGATGACCAGAGACTGCGGACACTGTACAGGGGATGACCAGAGACTGCGGACACAGTACAGGGGATGACCAGAGACTGCGGACACTGTACAGGGGATGACCAGAGACTGCAGACACACTACAGGGGATGAGCAGAGACTGCGGACACAGTACAGGGGATGACCAGAGACTGCGGAAACACTACAGGGGATGATCAGAGACTGCGCACACAAGTACAGGGGATGACCAGAGACTGCGGACACAGTACAGGGAATGACCAGAGACTGCGGACACAGTACAGGGGATGACCAGAGACTGCGGACACAGTACAGGGAATGACCAGAGACTGCGGACACAGTACAGGGGATGACCAGAGACTGCAGACACTGTACAGGAGATGAACAAAGACTGTGGACTTTTGGGGAGCAGAGGAGGGGAGCGGGTGCCCGAATTTGATAGGTACCCGCTCCCACTTCTGCGGAGCTGTCCTTTCTCCCCGTCTTCTGGGACACGAGACAGGTCCCAGAAGACTGCCGGACCATTCACAAAGCGCAGCACTTCTCGCGCATGCGCAGTGGGCACCCGACTGTGAAGCCGCAAGCTATCACAGCCGGGTGGCCACACTATGCCGGCCCCGGGAGAGAAGATGGTGAAGACAGCGCTGAACCGAGGAACAGGTAGGACCCGGCCGCTCCATATTCGCTCCATAAGACACACAGACATTTTCCCCCAATTTTTGGGGGGGGGGGTGGAAAGTGTGTCTTATGGGGCAAAAAATATGGCATATGGTTTTGTTTTTCCACAATTCTTTTGTATATTATTTTTGTACTGGGATCTAGTGCTGAATGTTATACGTTTGTATGAAAACCACAATAAATATTTCGTAAAAGAAACTTCAGTGTATTCAAAATTTCATGAACTAAAACAAACGCTTCAAACTGAGTGAAATTCCACATCAGTGTCACATAAAGATAAGCCACAAAGTGACACAGAAATATAAATTAATGCAGACAATCCAAACACTGTAAAAGAAGTAACCAGGACACAAGAGGCTTCAATCAAGAAATCCACCAGAAGAAATAAAGGCATCCCAGCCAAACATCTGTCCTATGTTGCTAGCATTAAAACCAGAGCCAGATTCATGGGATGAGTTGCAAAGACTTCCAACCCATGAGAAACAAAAGTGGATCAGAGCTACTGATGAAGAGATGACATCTGTTAGTGAATTGTAATGCTTTGACAAAACTGCTTGCAAGTAGTGATGGGCCGAACACCCCCCTGTTCGGTTCACGGTCGAATATTCAAACCTAATGAAAGTTCGACTGCGAACTTTGAACTCAAAGCCAGTCTATGGGACTTGAACTTGTAAATTCAAAAGTGTGCATTTTTAAGGCTTATATGCAAGTTATTGGCCATAAAAGGGGTATGGGGACTTGGGTGCTGCCCTGAGGGACATGAATCATTGAAAAAAAAATGTCAAAAAGTACTGTTTTTAAAGGGGCACTTTTCATTGATTAAAGTAGAAATAAAAATGAAAAATTCCTTTAAATATCATGCCTGGGGGTTCCCTTAAAAAAGTTGCACATCTGTAAAATGTATAGAACCTGCTGCAGCAGGACTGACATTTTTTATTTTTGCCACAATCCACTTCAGACAGAGACTGAAAACAGCAATGCTGCGTTCATGAGCACATGCGTTGAAAAAAGCCCACGCCAATGAAGTTTTGGAAGTCAACGGGGAATAAGCAGTGCCCTGCACCTGTGGAGCTCTGTCATGTGATGCAATAGGGTGGCTGCCCTTACGCCTGCATACAGGGACCACAGCTCATAGCATGAACAGTTTAGGTGACAACGTGTTTACTAGAACTCCAAATGATGAAAGACCTGCTATGTCCATCAAAGTTCATATGTCCCTTGATGTAGTTGAAAAGGAGATGTTTGTAGATGAAGCAAACCACTAAGTAGCACTTAGCAGTACCGTTTCGCTCACCACGCCCTAGACTACCAAACAACAGGGAGCAAGCACAGAAGAAACTCCTTGTTCTACAGTGCTCCTTTGCAAAGAAAACCTGAAATGAAAGAACATTTTGTTAACTTTATGCAAAAGATCTTTGACCATGACCAAGCAGAACTTACCCCATCACTGAAATCAGGTTAAGAGGGTTGGTACCTATCTTTGGCGTCTATCACTCTAAAAAACCAAGGCAAATCAGAATAGTTTTTGATTCTAGCACTCAGTATGATGGCATCTCATTAAATGACGTACCTCTTAGCGACCCTGATTTGAATAATACGCTGCTAGGTGTCCTAATACGTTTCTGAAAAGAGAAAGTTGCAGTTACTAATGATGTGCAGCAAATGTTTTATTGTTTTGTGGTTAGAGAAGATCACAGCAACTACTTCAGGTTTCTTTGGTTTCAAGATAATGACCTCATCGAAGAAATTACAGAGTTCAGGATGAAAGTACTGCACATGTTTTTAGAAACAGTCCTTCACCTTCCATAGCCATTTATGGTCTAAGACAAATAGCTAAGCAGCAAACAAGTAAAATTATAACAAGATCTGGCACTCAGCACATAGGTACTCCCCAATACAGTAGAAGGAATAGGGGAGGTGAAAAAAAGAGGGGGGGGGGGGATTTGGGGAATTAGGATAAGGTAGTTGGTATAGTTAAACATGAAGTAGCAGAAAACCATAAGTGGTATAGGCACACAAATGGTAAAATCAATAAAGTCCAAAAAGAGTCGCTGTATAATGACGTGTTTGGTGGTTAATGGCTGGCGTCCTATAGAGCAAGGCCAACTCTGTATGCAGAAATAAAGAGAGAAAAAAAAGGAGGTGCCAAAAACTAAGTGCAGATTATTGTTGTCACATTTAATGGATAGGTCAAAATGCATCAAAATATAGGTCTGGATCTTGTGATTCTCACAATAAAAGATTTTCACTGTAGGATTTATAGTTTTAAAACTACGACCGTTTGAAGATGGCAACCTCCTGGGAAGTGAGCAACTTGGAGCAGTTTGTTTTTAACCGCTCCTCTGCCCTTGCTGTAGAGTGAGTTGCCATAGGAACCCAGGTGTGTGAGCAGCCAGCAGAGTGACAAAAGCTACTCCGCCCACTCCAGTTGTAGACTACTGGTGGAGGCAAGAACACCGCACAATTTCCCCAGAAATTGTAGATTTTCTAGTTAAGTGTTCTTGCAAGAACACTTATTGTTAACTCACAAATATATTCTTGGAGTGTGGAAGGAAAAATCAGGACATGATTTCTAAACTGCCATCACTCCATTGTTTGCAACTCACGCCGCTGGTGGAGTCTACTGGTGGAGGCAAGAACACTTCACACAATTTCCCCAGAAATTGTAGATTTTCTAGTTAAGTGTTCTTGCATGGCAAGACCACTTACTGTTATCTCACATATATATTCTTATTCTTATTATAGCCAAATTTACCACCCTAACTCCTCCCACAGTTTTTACACTACATAGACAGTAATATACCGAAATGTGCGGATTGTTCCCGATTGGTGTGCTATTACTTTGTGGAACGTTTTGCCGAATGGTTCATGAAATATCGCCGTTTTTGTCGTGAAATTGGTCCCATAGGAATGAATGGCGCAATGTTCAAAACTAGAGTGTGAGCTAACAAAGTTAGAGTGTGAGATGAAAAATCAGGACATGATTTCTAAACTGCCATCACTCCCATATTTTCAAGCCCACCTACACAATTCTTATATCAAAACCTTCCGCTATCCCTGCTGCCACTAAAATTGTCCACGGCTAAGCCATAGTCCTGATAGTTTTCACAATATGACCATTTGTTTGCAACTCACGCCGACCATTGACATTCATTGAAACTCCACTCTAGACACCTGAAATTTGAAGGGCAATTTCTAAACTGTGACTGTGCCTTAATTTTTAATATTTCAGAGACATACTATGCAACAAAATGTAGGTCCGGGTCTTGTTATTCTCACAATATAAAGCTCTTCACTGTAGGATGTATAGTTTTAAAAACTACAACCGTTTAAAGATGGCAACTGCCAGTGAAGTGAGCAACTTGGAGCAGTTTGTTTTTAACCGCTCCTCTGCCCTTGCTGTGGAGTGAGTTGCTATAGGAACCCAGGTGAGTTAGCAGCCAGCGGAGTGACAAAAGCTACTCCACCCACTCCAGTTATAGACTACTGGTGGAGGCAAGAACACTTCACACAATTTCCCCAGAAATTGTAGATTTTCTCGTTCTTATTCTTATTATAGCCAAATTTACCACCCTAACTCCTCCCACAATTTTTACACTACATAGACAAGTAATATACCAAAACATGTGGATTTGTTCTATTCGCCAAATGGTTCACGAAATATCGCCGTTTTTGTCGTGAAATTGGTCCCATAGGAATGAATGGCGCAATGTTCAAAAACTAGTGTGGGAGCTGACAAAAGCTAGAATGTGAACTGAAAAATCAGGACATGATTTCTAAACTGCCAATCACTCCCTCATTTTCAATCCCACCTACACAAATCTTATATCAAAACATTCAGCTATCCCTGCTGCCCACTAAAAATGTCCACCGATAAGCCATAGTCCTGATAGTCTTATTATAGCCAAATTTTTTCACCACCCTAACTCCTCCCACAATTTTTACACTACATAGACAAGTAATATACCAAAACATGTGGATTGTTCCCGATTGGTGTGCTATTACTTTGTGGAACGTTTCGCCAAATGGTTCACGAAATATCGCCGTTTTTTGTCGTGAAATTGGTCCCATAGGAATTTCGAATGGCGCAATGTTCAAAACTAGAGTGGGAGCTGACAAAAGCTAGAATGTGAACTGAAAAATCAGGACATGATTTCTAAACTGCCATCACTCCCTCATTTTCAAGCCCACCTACACAAATCTTATATCAAAACATTCAGCTATCCCTGCTGCCACTAAAAATGTCCACCGATAAGCCATAGTCCTGATAACTTTTTTTTCACAATATGACCATTGGTTTGCAACTCATGCCGCCCATTGACATTCATTGAAACTCCACTCTAGACACCTGAAATTTGAAGGGCAATTTCAAAATTGCAACTGTGCCTTCATTTTTATATTTCAGAGACATACTATGCATCCAAATGTAGGTATGGGTCTTGTGATTCTCACAATATAAAGCTCTTCACTGTAGGATTTATAGTTTTAAAACTACAAAGGTTTGAAAATGGCAACCGCCAGTGAAGTTAGCAAGTTGGAACAGTTTGTTTTTAACCGCTCCTCTGCCCTTACTGTAGAGCGAGTTTGCCATAGGAACCCAGGTGTGTGAGCTGATAGCAGAGTGACAAAAGCTACTCCGCCCACTCCAGTTATAGACTACTGGTGGAGGCAAGAACACTTCACACAATTTC